ATACAATTTTTGTAATTAGTGTTAATAGAAGAGATTTTATGTATCGGATAGCGTTACCAACTGTTAAAATTTTGCAAGATCTGAAAAAGAGTCAGGATTCTAGAAAATAATGCAAAATGGAAGAGTATCAGGGCAAAATAGAAGGATAAAGGACCAGAACTCGAGAAACTAAAATAAACTATAAGTTTGGTTTTGTTTATTTGATTATGGCAAAGCCCTCGAGAGCTATCTGCTTAAGGGGAAGAGATGCCTTTGTGGAGGACTTTCTAAGGGAAACTAACTTGTATGCAAGTTACACACGGGGAAAAACACGAAAGCGCCTATGCAGCCAGCTCGTTCGCGGGATTTGAATCTCGAACTGTTACAAGGGAAAATTAGATACTCAGACAGAGGAAAGGATGCTAACATTTCTTAGTCAGAATCGAACGAATTTGTAGAAAAATGTTAATTCTTTTCAAACAAAAGATCCAAATACATTCTCTATCTTCGCAGCTTCGTAGTTTTGTGCAGGCATAAATTTGCAAAGGGATCTTCAGAGCTATCTAATGGAAGAGTATATTCTATCTCAATATATTGAAGAAAACTGGTGATTTAAAATTTAAAATCTTCTTATTCTGACGCGCATGTGTCTCGCGAGGTAACAACAGAAAGAATTTCCTTTTTTTTCCTTCTCTCTCTTTATTAGCTAATGGCAAAGAGGTTTGTGTATTTTGAATTATGTCATACACAAAACACAATTTTGATTGGTTATTGCTTTCTGATGATAGTTTCATTCTTTTAAAAATGTGGTTTTGGCAACAGTTTTTCATTCATTACTTCGGATACTGGACTGTTGACTGTTTTATCTTGAAAATAGGAGAATTAATGCTTATTTCATTGTAATTTTTTATATTATGTTTTAATTATACAGAATTGTAATTATATAAAAAGTTTTGCATGATTGTTTTAAGAAACAATGTTCTTAACTTCCTTTATACCATTTGAATTCTTAAACTTTTGCAACAGGAAGTCGGTTAATTTATTTATTAGGATAATTAATATTTGTATTAAGGAATTTGCTTATTTCATTGTAATTTTGTTACATGTAATACTTTTTTTTTAAGTTTATGTTTTTTTTTATAAAGTTGTTCTACAGAGTAAAATTCTGCGCAGTATTTAAATTTAACGTTTGGTTCCCTTTAGGCATTTTTCCGGTACATTTAAAAGCCAGACGAAGGCTGGCCGCGTAGTTGCTATTATTTCAATATAAATGTTGGATTTGTCAACCATCACAACTGAGCGCTATTGAAGGTATCTTAAACAGTATTTCTTCGTGAGTATTTGATATCACTGACTTAAAACTCGCGATATCTTTGACCGTCAATAAAACTCACGAGGTTTCAGGTCTAGATAATCATTTATGTTTGCTGAAAATGATAATTTTAGCATTGGAATCTATCCAAACACTGAGAGGAAGAAACACTTACAGGAGAAGCAAAATATTGATTGATGTTTCATCCTGCATGAATGTAACAAAATCCAGTGCATGTCTTTATTCCAAGTTATGAGAAATGCTACATTGTAGTATTTTAGCATAATAGTGCCCTGTGACAGTGAGTGATGAAAATGCGACCCATAATTCCAAGCTATCTAGTGAATAAAGTCCAATGTGCCATCTAGTGAATAAAATTGTAATATACTTTTAACACAACATTCTCATAAAAAAGCCGGAATTTAGCGCAATTTTTGTAGCAATTTCTTTATCGGAAGGAATAAATTATTACTTATTTTTGAAACAACCTAAATTAAAAAGTGTATGTGTTGCTGTTCTTATTATTACTAGAGTATGACACATTTAGAGATAGTTTCATGAAATTTGATACTTTTAGAGCGAATCAAAAACTCAGGTTTCTGTTCTTTAAATTAGGAAATTGAGTTTTTAGGATTACTTTAAAGATCAAAAATTTGCTTCTTATTGAATATACTGTCGGATTTCGATATAACGAAGTTTAAGGGACTGGGAGTTTGGTTCGCTATATCCAGTTCAATAAGAAAAGCAGATTATTTCTCAAAAATATAAAAGCAGTTTTTTATATGTATGAAAACGAATAAAGAAAAATTTTGAGAATTTAACTTGTTCTTAAGGTATGTATGGTTGCAAAGGAAATATAGCTTTTCTAAAGAATATCCTATGTCTTTCAAATGAACTAAAAGGATGAAAAACCCTCATTCGGAGGATTGAACTTGAATAGTACTTAAAATTTAAAAAATAAGAAATAAAAGTTAAGAATATAAAAAATTGATTGCCTAACTGCCTAATTGGTTACTGTTCCGAATCAGCTGTACAATCCAAACTCATAAGTTCCGCTACCTCCTTTTTCCTTGAATACCGAAAATTAAAAAAATTTGCTTCATAGTTTCAGCCTGCCTGACAACTCAGTCGAAGGTAATCAAAGAATACACCGACGTTATTTGGTTTAATGGTTACATAAGGTATTTCTCCCACTTCCCTAGCGTGCCTTCGTGGTGTAGGGGTCAGCACACTGAGTTGGTATTCCAGAGTTCCGTGGTTCGATTCCCGGCGAAGGCGGTTGCATATTTTTCATCTTTTCTGCTTCCAATTAACCTAATGACTCTACAGTGGCGCCCGAACTAAGAAGGTTGTGGATGATGATTCTCCGCACCCAGGATTTGGCTACTAGGTCCCCTAAAACCCTAGTCGCCCTTTAAAAAGGGAAGTATATAAGGTATTTCTCCCACTTCCCTAACGTGCCTCCGTGATGTAGTGGTCAGCACACTGAGCCGGTATTCCAGAGGTCGGTGGTTCGATTCCCGGCGAAGGCAGTTGCATATTTTTCATCTTTTCTGCTTCCAATTAACCTAATGACTCTACAACATATACTATATTAAAAAGCACCATCTGGTATCCTAAGATTTGCTAATTGTATTCTACTTCTCCTAGATTGGGTATCACACTGTTTCGCATAATGTTTGTTTAGAGCACACAGAAAAGTGAGGTTTAACGTAAAAGAAAAGCAATGTAAAGGTGTTTTCTTTAAATAATGAATGTAGATCCCAATATCCTACACATGGACGATTTTAAGGGTTGGTAATTGTTTGTTACAAATTTCAGAAATCCACATAGTTTGCTATATACGGTTTGTATACCTTTGGAAATTCGCTATAACAGTATAGATTAACATTAAATGTACATGAAACTGGAAAGGACCGAAAGGTTCATTCTTTCTAAGCGAAATCGTTATAGCAGATTTCGACTCTGCATATAATTTTAAAAAGTTATCTTCTGAAAAAAATTAAAGATTTATCAATGTAAATAACACCAAATAAAATATATAAAATAAATATTTTGTAATATAACAGAAATTTGAAGACGTCAGTTATCCAAAATGTATGGAGTCAAAAAATCTATTGGGTTTTCTTTATTAATTTTATTTTACTTTTTTCTTTTATTTATTTTTTAAGTATTTTTTTTTCTCATTTGCGGTGCTATTGTACCGCAAATGAGTTGTTTATTTAAATTCTTAGCGGTATAATTTACTTGTGAAAGCCTCGCTTGTGAAACACAAAGAGTTAAAATTAATCTCCCGAAAAAAATATCATTCCTTTTGAAAGTTATAAGATGTCTAGAATAGCATACATGGAAATTTTAGGAGATATTTTGCAGTTCATTTACCTACAGAATTTTCCGGTTTCTTCTTCGCTTCCATTTAACACTTAAATATTTTTAATTTAAGCTGTATTACATGCATTTCAGTGTTACGTTGCATGTTAGAGGATTCACAGGCAACCTTATCATTTACTTCATTGTTTTCGCAAGCAAGGTATAAATATGTTTCTTTGTTTATGAAATAAAATTCTAAATCTGCCATCTTTTTAACAAGTAGTGAATTCAATTAAGTTTAAGTAAATTTTCCGTGTCTAATTTTATATAAGGTATAACAAATTTGTTTAAAATGCCATGGATCAGAATTTGATTCGAACAGCAGTTTAGTTAAATCCTCAAATGGCGTAAAACAACATAATTTTCCATTTATGGACATGTGAGGTTAGGAAAGAATTAAAATATGTTATTTTTGCAAAAAATATATATTCTATCAACACAATTAATATACGTTTAACAAATAAACATTTAAAGCATATTATTTGTTAAAATTCAAAATTCCGTATTTTGGATTTAATTGAAATGTCCAGTGCATTTCAACAGACAAGCAAACTCTCAGTTTCAGAAGCAGGTGGACCGATTAATTTATCCATCCACAAGCAAATTATTTAACAGAAAAATGCACAATGTGATTTTTTCGATGCCTATTTAATTATTAGAAACATATTTTGATATTTAAACAAATTAAAACTACAAGTTTAAAATTTAGCAATATTATGCAGTTCTTGAAATTCTATTTACAGTTTCAGTCCCAAGATTCAAAATCAAATTTGTATTCAGGAAATTAAAATATTATAGACAGAAGATATAACTAAAGATTTATTTTGCCAACTTCATTTCTAATTTTGTAATAAATTGTGTTATGATTCAACATTACATAATTTAAGCTGTTTACATAAACTCTCGAATGTTTTCCTGCTTTGATCTTGATTAGCAAATAAAGAAAATCATCAATAATTATTTAATTAGTCATTAGTGCATGCTTCCTTGTTGGACGCAGTGAAACTGTTCATATTGATCATTTTGCAAACAATGCAATGCAATTTATGCATGACTTAATCAATGAACATTTTTAATGTATTTATATTCCGCATAAAATTATAAAATAATAATCGAAAATTTTCGAGTATATTATATCGATACAATCAAGTTTAACTATCAAGTCCCTACCAAAAGAAAATTTTGTTATTCCAAGTTTTCTGTTTAGCAGAATTTTTACTAAATTTCTAACAATTCGCAAGCATTCTAACAAAACAAGACGAAATAATGAGAATCTGGTCAGTAAGTCTTAAATCCAAGCATATGTTTACTAAGACTTCCAATAAGAATGCATACTCACATTGTGTTCCGTGTTTGGAAGAGAAGCCGGTATTCACCCTGCACTAAAATCTTTACCGTTGTGTTGCGTACCTTTTTCTGGCTTTGGAAGAAGACTGACTGCTATTTTGCTAGAGACATGCTTCGCTATCGGGAAAGTTTCCGCATGGTTAGAGCCTGCTTGTCTCTATCTTTCCTGACCCGAAAGCCTGTTCGTAAGGACTCCAATTTTGTTTCAGTTTTGATGTTCTTTCTTTCTTATTTTTCGTTTCTTGCCTTTAGGCTGTGAAGGTCACGACTGAGTTTTGAGGAACAGTGGGTTAAGTCATGCGGCAAATCTAATAGTGATCTATTAAGTTTCAAATTTTCTCTTTTGCCTTAGTTTCTTGGAATGCTTCATGGACTGCTTGTAACTTGGAGTACTTGGAAGACCACTTACTATCTTTCAGTACATATTGAGATATCAGTACCTTTGGCAGATATGTACTTCCTTATAGCAATGTTGATTTCATCCAAACATAATTGTGGTTTAGTGGTTAGAACATCCTAGTCGGTTTAAAATTGACAGTTCCTATATAGTTTTCTAGATATCTTTAATCAGTTTAAATATGGTTTTTTAAATATCTTTAATGTTTCAATTAATTTAAAAGTTGGTTTGAATGTTTTAAAAGCAAGAAATTTCAGAAAGTTAGCAAATGTAATGTGATTTCTTAAATAGCAAATATAAGGAATAAGGATCCAAACATATATAACGGTAGCAAGAATAAGGATCCAAACATGTATAACGAATTTCATAAAATATAATAGAGACCCAACTCCCCGAAATGCTGTCCGACTTGAGGTTGTATTTGAAATCATTCAGACGGTTCTTTTCAGTTTTCGCAAAAGAAATACTACACGGGCATACAAGACTATAATAATTTTTTACATTTCTTATCACATGTTGCTCTTTTAGTTCTCGAGCGATGCATCATTTGAGCAAAATTTTAACATATATACTCATAATAATTTGTACATTGATATTTAACACATAATTTATTCATAATTTTGACTTACATACATATGATACGTACTTTGATATTTAACATATAACGCATTTAAAAGAATGTTGGGTCAGCAGGATACAAACTGAATCGTTCCTACCGTTTTATGATGTGCTACTTCCGGAAATGTTAGCTGTGTTTTAACTGCAACTGATTTTTGTCATACTTTCCTGAGAGCTGATTTGTTGCGAATTAACATCTCACATCCAATCCGCCTCACACGGCCCTACATTGAAACAACCAGAACCGCTCGAGATTGTAATCTTGTTTTCTTTCCTCCCCCTATGGTATGCAGTAGCAGGTGCAGTTTCCTCAAATGCATTGTATAGTTTATTGCAGACAGCTTGTCTTAAGAGGTTTCTTATCTTTTAGTTGATCGTGACATTTTCGTTGTCGATTCTTTTGTGGTACACTGTGCTTTTAAGCTTTAAACAGCAATAAAAGAGCAGTTTAAAAATTTAAGGATTATATTTATTTTTAAACAATTTATTCCTTCCTATAAAAATAACGGAAATAAACAAAATCTCAGTCGTGATCATAACAAGGCCGGAAAGGCTTGTTGGTCTGACGTTCAGAATAGTTTTATAAAGAACGGGGTCAAAGGCTAACGGAATCTTCGTTAGAAAGTACAAAGGATGTCATTGGAAATCTTCAGATTTATTTTCCGCGTTAATGGACGAGGAGGGGAGGAAATTGCTGTGAAACTGGAAAACTATTTCGGACGGTCCGGTATTATGAGGATACAGGTTAGCGAAGGGTCTGGATTACAAAGAGTTAAATTAATTGTCCAACCCGGCCAATTTTGTGAGGCTAATTTCTTAAGACGAATCTCGATTAGATTGTTGGCATATCATAGAGCTTGAATGATCATATATTAGATACCGAAAATCTCAAAAATAAAAAGGCTTAAACAGTGCTCAATAAACAATTTCATCTCATACTTTCTCTGTCTGTCTGTATGGTTTGCTGCTGCTTTTCTATTATACATAAAAAATTAGCCTTTATGTCGATGATAACAGGCTGATTCAGAAAGATGAAAAGGTGAAATAAAAGATGATAAAACTTTTCTGAAACGTTAAAATCCTGTGTTTTTTTCATTGTTCACTGTTTACTCGTAGTTGATAAAAATTGCAGTTGTCATAGCAAAACATTTAATAATTCTGTATTTGCACAAAATTTAATCTATAAAGGTTAGGTAAGAACTTTTCTTAATTTCCTTCAGTAAAAAATGCACAAGTATTATTGAAATTAAAGTGGAGGGTAACATTACGATCAAAAGTGTTTTTTTTTTTTTTTCCTTTACTAAGACTTGTCGATTTACAATCTTGTGCGCCATTTACAACCCTGTGGGCATAGAATTGAACTCTTCAGGTCTTAATGCCTTCAAACAGTTCTAATACTTGTGCTCTAATGTTACGGTGTTATTACATATCAAGAGTGAAATTAATAGTTCATGTTAATAGATATATGCAGGCTATGAAAAGGCACAGGTACCCAACCTTTTCTGCAGAAAAAGGAATCCTGACAGAAACTACTACTAAAAAAAATTCCAGACTTAAAAAACAAAAAAGAAACAACCGAACTCAAGCCTAACCTTAACTATTTTTATATTGTTAATATGCTCAACTTGTGCAAAATTAAGTGGGTACTGAAATTAAATCGAATTCACTTATTAACTCACCAGGAACTAATTCATAACTATAAACATAAAATCGTTATTATATATTTGATTTATGTTGATACATATATTTGAATTATATGTATATAGTTTATTTTTGATTTACATGCATAATTCGTGTCGGGGAAGTTTTCTGTAGGCAGCCAAGAGTTTCTAAATTACTTTGGTTTTCTAAAACTTTTGGTTTTCTATTCTTAATTGACTTTAATTAATTTTAATTCTAGTCATTTACTTGCTAATTTCTCAAAATTTCACTTGTTTAAATTTCTTTTTAGTAATTGACAACATTTGATTTTACTTTTGGTTTCGAATTTACTTTTACCCTTGCCTACATGAATGACGAAACACGAATTAAGTAATTGAAGAGTTAGGTTTGGAATCAACTTCCCCTTGATAAGTCTGTCTCCTCCCTGCTGAACAATTATTCACGTATGCATTTTTTTAATTTTTTAGGATTAAAAATGTTTTTGGAAAATTATATTTATTCATGGATTTTTGATGCCTGCACTTATTTACATATGCTCTCGGAATTTAAATGATATTGTAGATTAGTTCGCAGCAATAATTAATTACATGTTTGTTTACAATTAAAATTTCATAATTTAAATTTAATTTTTAATTCTCTTTAAATTTGTTTTTACGAATAAAGAATGCTTGTTAAATTCAAATTATTATTTAAAGTTGATGTTTTTTCTTTACTTGCAGTTTTTAAACCTCGTGTACTCTGTGACATACAAGGAATTTTTTCTTTTAATTCAAAAAAAAAAAAAAAAAAAAGAAACATAAAAGGATGTTAGCAAGAACAAAATGCTATGTTGTAATATAATTGCAAATTTCACTAGAAATGTAATAAAATAAAACATTCTTAATGCTGTCTGCTTTTGTTTGTTTTATTCCATTTCGCTCACCTCAAAATATGATGGGGAAACTTACTGTAGTCCTTGCTTGTAGAAATCAAATGTACCCCAAACAAATCTGCCAAAATCTTACCTTTTGAACAGTAATTATGTTTCTGAAAAGGAAAGGATTTAGAAGAATCGTTTTGTTAAAATGAAGCATTACTTCAATAACTCTTAAAGTAAACATTAATTTTTATAAAGAATATCAGGAATGTATCACTCATGACAGTTTTTATTGAGATCTGCGATAACACTCGGGAGCTATTTTTCAAGCACACGAAAATCTAGTTCGTTGCATTGTATAGTTATTATGAATTATGATTTAAATATATACTAATTATTATAAATTTTGATTTCTATTCCCCACCAGTAATGCTCATTGTCAAAAATGTTGCTTTTGTTAAGCATTTCGAACATATTAATCATAATTAGTTGCACAAATTGCCCTATTATGTTCATTTCATTAAGCATCATTATTACATTATTTGTTAAAATAAAGCTCTCGACGGTCTTAGAAGAGAGTTTTCATGAGGATTTTCCAAGCGCATTTGATCCAGCAATGGTCCAATGGATACTAATGGTTTGATCTGTTTCAAATCTTGACGAAGAGGCTGACTGACATGGACACGAACCAGTTTGCCTTGGGACTCCTTCATGAAGCATACCTTTCATAGTCAGATAGCGCTAGTGTGCTTCTCCATAATCAAATAATTTTTAAAAAATCCAGGTGCAGTTGGTTCTTGTTTTCCTTCAGTAGTTGAACGTGAACACATACTACATTAACAGCATTTCTTAGGCTAGCCTATTCGGCCTATTTTTGCCCTTGATGTTTAACTGCTGATAATTTGTTTCCGCTACGCAAAGTTCCGGTCCTGAGGAAATAAATATTATTCTTAATATAACATTTTTAACATCCTACATATCTTGAATTTTGGGGCATTAATTCTTAAACTAAGCTTTTTCAATTTTTTTTTTTTTTTTTAACTTTATCTATTTACTTTTAGCTGAAAACAGATCTGCAATATTTGTATGCTTTCTATCAGATTATCAGTATGATTGTTTGGTTAAATATTACTCTCTGTGAAGTTTATGCTAGATTATTTTGTAACATTAAGTAGTACCTTTTGAATATTTAAAACAATGCATTTTATTTGCTCCATTGTTCTTAGTCTTTAACTTGTATTATTTTTTCTTAATTTTACTAATTTCTTTGTTATAGCAGTATTATTCTTGATAATACAAGTATTATGAATGTTATCCTTGTACTGTATTTTATATATTACAATTATTATCCTATGTTTCTAGGTATGTATGTGTGTTGTGATGCGCTGATGGAAAGCATACTGAATAAAAAGCAGTGCATTTTGATATTAAAAGTTTTTCTAAATTTCATAAATAGTTCATTTAGAGGCCTACGAACACGAATTTCCCATCAATCGTGATTTAAAAACACACTCAGAACTTTTTACATTCGAAAAATATATGACTTGAGATACTAAACTTGTGAACTACACACTATTTGCATTTATATATGAATGTAGTTTGTAATTCT